CAACCCACGAATTTTACTTTTTTTTCCCCCCGATTCTCTCCCCCATCCCACTGCGGGGGAGGCGAGCAAACGGCTGTGTGGTGTTTAGCTGCCTAGCTGCCTCCACTGCAACAGCACCATACACAAGTAGTGTGCTGGACTTCTGAATTGTGTTAATACAGTAGATTAAAAGGGAAAGGTACAAACATTTGTATGATTAAGTGTAAATATTTCTCCTCTGTTACTTCTGGCATTTGGTTAACTTGTAACAGGCTGATAAGACTTCAAGATTTAAAAAAAAAAAACAAAACAAAACAAAACACAAAAAACCCAGAAGCCAATTTACTCATTCTGGTAAAACTGCTGGATTCTGCCCACGGTACTGCTGATTTGACCAAATGGCTGGTGACAAGGCTACCCTGTACTGCAATTATAACTAGCATCACCCATATGTGCTCACACACTTAAGCGGTGGTTAGCAGCAAAAAATTACCACTGGTATACTCAAGTCCTGCAAAGAAAAGCCCTTACTGAAGAACTGAATTTATTCTAGAGAAATATATTTAGCCTCTCCCTTGCTTCTCCCCTCCCCACCCACTCCACTGTTAAGGTAATCTTCTTTCAGGGGTTAAAGAGATTAACAACAGAGATTCAATCAGCACTTCAAAGAAAAAGACATTCAGAAATAAGCAGACAAAAACTTAAAAGCTCTACTTTTATAACTGCATACCCACAAAACAAAATTAAGGAAGCAAACTCCTTAGCTTTTAAAAGTCAAAAACGTAGGTGGAACTTACTTTAAAATACTGTGTATGCATTTATGAGAAGGAATTACAGGAATGAGGGGAGAGAAGATGACATAAGCCAAGAGTGAGTAGTAGGGAAGAAAAAAATTATTGCCCACACTATGGGGGGGAAAAACCCAGTGACTTATTACTCTTTAGTCTTGTAATAAATTACTGGATAAAGAAAAAAAATCCCTAAGCAGCTGGTATGCAATGTTGGATTTTATTATTCTGGTACTGTATTTGTTATTAAAAATTTATGTGACTGAAATAACTTACAACTATTTTCATCACCCTTTGTCTGACCAGCAACAAAATATTAAGGAATACATTTCTGTCATAAAATTATTACTCTTTAGTCTTGTAACAAATTACTGGATAAAGAAAAAAAATCCCTAAGCAGCTGGTATGCAATGTTGGATTTTATTATTCTGGTACTGTATTTGTTATTAAAAATTTATGTGACTGAAATAACTTACAACTATTTTCATCACCCTTTGTCTGACCAGCAACAAAATATTAAGGAATACATTTCTGTCATAAAATTCATGGCGTTCCTTCTGAAGCATTGAACTCTTTTTAGAAACAGGTACAGATGGGAAGTTCCTGTTTGCTCTGCAGAAGCCCATCTATTCAAAGAAGCGTTGGCCCAAGGTATGTTATTCACAAACGACTAATCCATCCCTATTAGTTAAATCATTATTTTAGATCAGGCTGGTGTCTGAAGAAAACTACTCGAGTGTCTTCAGCAGCTTGTTCTTTCTTTGAAACAAATACTCTCCTGTTGGTTCTCATCCGTGTGCCCACACGTTTGGTGGGCGGGTTAGGAGTCAGGTCTATCACGAAATCACGTTCGGAAAGGTATGGACTAAAAGCACAGATGCCTTGTTCTGCTTTCTAGATGAAAACAATCCTATGTTAGAATGTTCTAAAGAAGAAACAGAAGCTAAAATGATTACTGGAAGGACAGCTGAAGGTTAGCAGGATGCCCACAAAAATCAATAGAAGAATGAGAGTACTCCAGGAAGTAGTCATCAAATGAGATTTTAGTGACATCTAATTTGACTTGGGCTTTTTGGAGAAGTCATACAAAGGGCAAAAGTTCATTGTGGTTCAGTACTCTACAAACACCTCAGACAATGACAGAGGACCCTTAATAACCCCTCTGCCAAACAAGAGAGCTCCAAGAAAGTCAGTGCTGCCCTCTTATCTTCCCAAGTCCGTTTTATAGCAGAGTGCCGGATCACGAGGAAAGCTTTGTTCAACAATTGGAAAGTGTGGCCAGTAAAGTCTTCATGGGTTTTTTTCCCGCTTTCCTTTCAGAAGGATGATCTACCAGCCCAAGAAAAACAAGTTTTTCCTCAAGTGCCATCATATCCTAGGAACAAACGGTTCCCTCAGGGCGTCTGCACCCCGGAGAGGTGGGTGTAACAAGGGAACAACTCGTTCGACCAACGCATCTTTGCTCTTTCCAGTTGATGGTTACAGAAATTATCTACTCATTGATTCCTCGGGACACAAGGTTCTCGGGAATGCTTCAAGAAAGGTCTCCTACTGGTGTGAAGGAAGATGCTAGAGCTTTCTTTGAAGGAGGCGATTTTAACTCAGGTGGACAAACTGACAATGTTACACCTAGCTGCCTCAGAGCAAAGCAGTCTGCAGATGCCTCTAAACTCCGTATTCATTTTCCCCTCCATACTCTACCCAT